AAAGAAGGGCCAACAAAATAGGCGGTAAGACCGGCAGCGTCACCACCACCTCATCACTAGGTCACGCGCCCCGCGATTTTTTTTTTTTTTTCTGTTTTTATCGACTATGAAGCATAGTCGATTAGTCTCAAATCGACTGTGTTTCATAGTCGATTAAGGAAATTCTTTATTTTTTAACTTTTCTTTTGTTTCTAATTTTGTTTTTAAATTTTTTTTTTATCTTTTTTATTGTTTTTTTCTCTATCAGGTTTATTAATGGATAGTCGATTAAAAATTTAACTATTAAAAATAACAAATCACAATTACAAAAAAAATACAAAATCAATTATATTTTAAAAAAAATACAAACATTGTAATTGATTTATACATTGGAATCAATAAACAAAAAATCAAAAAAAAAAAAAAATTAACAACTAGAGTCGGTTAACCTTAATCGACTACTCAACATAGTTGATTAAGCCTTAATCGACTATTGAACATAGTTGATTAAACCACGTAGTCGATTAAGGGTCCTGCCTGCGCGAATTTTTTTTTCTGCACCGTCTTCCGCCACAATTCACCAAAAAACTCTAGATCTGTTCTTCATCGTCACCACGTCGTCGCCACACCACAGCATCACCACCCCACTTCCATATTCTAACTGTTTTTACACCAAAAAACCCTAATTGCTTATGGGCCTTGATTTACTCCCATCAGAATCTATTGAGGAGGCGGAGGATTCTGTTGAGCATGACGTGTGCGTCGGGATTGGCGGCGGCGGGAAGCTGGGCGGCGAGTTCCCGAACGGAGACGGCGGTTTTGAGTGCTGCTGGGAACACCGCCGCCATGGCCAGTTGGGTGGCGAATACAAAGGCATCTTCCTCTGACCGATAATCCATGGCGGAGGTAAATGCCAAGAGAAGAGAGAAGAGAGAAGACAAGAAGAGGAAAGACGAGAAAAGAAGAAGCGAAAACGGCAGAAGAGAGAAGACGAGAAGATGAGAAAAAAAAAAGAGAGAACGGCAATGGGTTAGGGGTAATAAGGGTGATTTGAAAATTATTAAATAATATTTAGGTAGGATATTAGGTAAGGGGGTTTCCTTGTTGAACTCTTCCCATATATATCTATATATATATATATATATATATATATATATATATATATATATATATATATATATATATATATATATGGACGGATGTCAAAAAGGCTCATCACATAGGACTTAAATACATTTTGGTCCACAAAAAAAACTATCTCTCAATTAAACCCATCCCCACGTCTTTAGCCTAAAATACCTTCCATAATATAATTCTTATCAATTCCATCCATTATGCTCTAACTTCCTTAATATTACACATTGACCCCCGATTTAAACAAATATATCACATTAACCCCCCAATTTTTTTTTTTCATAAAATAATTTTTTTTCTGATTTTTTTTTTCCGGCCAGATTCCGGAGTTGACCGCCGGAGATCGCCGGTCTCCGGCGTTGAATTTTTTTTTTTTCTGAAATTTTTTTCCAGCCGGTCAACCACCGTTGACCGCCGGTCTCCCGCGTTGACTTTTTTTTTTCTTAATTTTTTTTTCTTAGAAAAAAATATTTTAATTAATATTACTGTCTTGGCTACTAAATTACTGTCTCAGACAGTAATATTATGAATATTATTTTCCCGAACAGTAATATTATTAATATTATTGTCTAAGACAGTTAAATTACTGTTGGAGATAGTAATTTAGTAGCCAAAGCAGTAATATTAATTACAATATTTTTTTTCCAGAAAAAAAAAAAAAAAGTTAATTAACAGTTAAATTACTGTCTCCGACAGTTAAATAACGACTGGAGACAGTAATTTAGCAACGAATACAGTAATATTAATTAAAAATATTTTTTTTTAAGAATAAAAAAGTCAATTAACAGTTAAATTACTGTCTCCGACAGTTAAATGACTGCTGGAGACAGTAATTTAGCAACGAGTACAATAATATTAATTAAAATATTTAAAAAAAAAGTTAATTAACAGTTAAATTACTGTCTCCGACAGTTAAATAACTGCTGGAGACAGTAATTTAGCAGCAAAGACAGTAATATTAATTAAAATATTTTTGAAGGAAAAAAAAAAGTCAATTAATAGTTAAATTACTGTCTCTGACAGTTAAATACTGCCGGAGACAGTAATTTAGCAGCCAAGACAGTAATATTAATTAAAATATTTTTTTACGAAAAAACTAAATTATAAAAAAAAAGTCAACGCCGTAGACCCGGCGGTCAACTGCAGTTGACTGGCCGGAAAAAAATTTCAGGGAAAAAAAAGTTTTCAAAAAAAAAAAAAAAAAAAAAGTCAACGGCGGCGACCGGCAGTCTCCGGTGGTGGCGGGTCAAAATTGAAATTAGGGTTAAAATTCGTTAATTGATTAAATTGGCCTAAATTGGGGTGTAAATCATGAAATTGAAATTAAATTGGGTTTCAATGAATCGGGGTAAATATAATTAAATTTATTTATATTTCTAATTGCCACATGTTATTTTCCAAAATGGACACTAAGGTGGTTAAATTCATAACTCATGTTTGATATTTTATTCTGCATGATTGCAAAATGTATTTTTACATTCTGAAAGATGAAATATGAAAATACAAATACAACTGTGATTTCATAACACTATTGGAATTAAAAATAACTATTTTTTAGTATGCACATGGTGGTTAAATGTTTTGATAGTTCATTTAATAACGCCACTGAGGTGCTCTTGCCGTTAATAGTTTATATTAACAAATACAATATCAATCGGCAAATCAGTAGTTTCAAAGATCCAATTTTAGTTACAAACTCAATAAGATATTTATATATTACATAAATGACTACAATTATATGAGAAGTAATTGCATAATTATGTGTGTGTCTTTTCAAATTGAGAAAGATTGGTGCAATATTGTGGCTATGGATGGAAAAAAGTTATCAAATATCAAGTATCATAGTATACCAAAAAAATATTATCTATTAAATACCAACTTAGTGGTTATCATTTCATTTGGCACGACATTGGTACTATATCGAACTTATATGAAATTTACTACAATCCTATAGTGTGGGTAAAGAAAAATATAGAAAACCTATCATTGGAAAAAAAAATGTTTAGGTAGAAATATTCTGACTAATTTGTAAATTAAAATTTTAAACCATATGAAAATAAAAATATTAATGTAGGGTATAATAGCGTAAATGATTATTAAATATTTTAACACTGTATATATCTTACTATATTTTGGTATTGGAATACATGAGTTATTTTGTCTAACTTGCAAGTTATGTATCTACATTAATGAAATATTCTTAAATTTTCTATTTCCCCATCATATATAATAAGTTATATTTATTTTCTTAATTTCCATTTTAAAATATTTGTAAGATGAAATTATTTATTGTATAATGTTTATAAGAATCTAATATCGATTTTATATCTCTGTTTTTTTTTAAATCACAATATATTTGACTGATTTACACAAAAATCCAATTAATTTTTAATTTTTCCATTTTTCATTTATATAAGCATTTTATAGTGACTTTTGTTTACTTGAAATTTCAATAACATCAGCCTTTATGTTAGTTTCTAACATATGGTCATACGTGTAAATAAGTTTAAGTTGTATATTAACAAGGATAGCTTATAAAAACCCCCTGAACGTAGGCTAAATTAAGAAAAACACCCCCACAAATTCGTAATTATCAAAATTCTGCTAATGTTTGTTTCCGTCTTACATGGACTCCCTTATGGTATGTTTTTTCAAGGAATGTTTTTATTACGTGTAATATTCCCTGAAAAATGCTGATTATACTCTACACACGCGACATTTCTTTATGGTACTTTTTAAAGACAAAAATTACCCTCAGGAGGACTTTACACGAAATCTTTATTCTTCTTAAATAATAATTTCACAAATTTTTATTATTACCATGACCAGCCCTAAGGGTAATTTTTGTATTTAAAAAATACGATAAAAGAAATGTCACGTTGCTTGGGTATAATCCATATTTTTGAGATATTGCATGGAATAAAAAGGATTTCGTAAAAACTCAGACCATAAGGGGGTCGTGTAAGACGGAAACAAACATCAGGGGAATTTCGATAA